TTTAGCTGTACACTATCGCTACAAGATGACGATAAAATTTCTGATACAGCTTGCATCAACTGGAATCAGTATTACAACGTTTGTAGGGTTGTTGCAAAGAATCCATTTGATGGAGCTGTATCATTCGATAATATCGGTTATGCTTGGGTGGCAATTTTTTTAGTTAGTTTTTTCTTATATTTAACAGTTTTGATAACTTAAATGTTACTTTTTCTGGTTGCCGAAGAAAAAGCAAGTCAAAGGGCAGATAGTGATGTGCATTTTAATTTTCTATATGTACTCAACTTTCTTAGTTCTGCCAAAAAACATTGTTTAATTACTTTATGCACTTCTATGCAAATAAATAGTCAAAAGCCAAAAAGGAAATACCTCAAATTTGGAAAATTGAAACAAAGGACTGCATATTACAACAACATTATAAGACAACAGATTTAATATAAGTTTTGGAAAATAACCGTATCCACCTAAAATAGCTTCACTTTTCAGGTTATAAGTTTAGAAGGTTGGACAGATATTATGTATTATGTTCAGGATGCCCATAGTTTTTGGAATTGGATTTACTTTGTTCTCTTAATTGTGGTATGTCTCAAAACCTTAAATATAAAAATTCTTTCTTGATTTTTTCCAGTTCAAACAAGAAAAACAGCATTATTTATATCCAATTTTTCATTATAAACTTTGTGCAGAATTAATATATCAAACATGACGACTGTAGGCATTTTTTTATGATGGCTTATCAGTTTTTCAAGGCAAAGGAAGACTGAAATTTAGTTTGAAAAAATTTTCACATTTTCTAGATAGGGGCATTTTTTATGATAAATTTGTGCCTTGTTGTCATCGCCACACAATTTGCGGAGACTAAAAGACGTGAAACCGAACGGATGCTTGAAGAACGGAAACGTTTACTTCATTCTTCAATGTCTCTATGTACATAGTGATTTTCTTTCCGCAGACTATCTTTCAATAATATTTGCAATTTCCAACAATAAAATCTTACATTTACTTAAACTTTAGCAGCTTTATTAAGCGATATTTTTCACTAAAAATTACTATGTTGCAAAAAAAGAAAAGAAGAGTATCATAAGATTATTGTGACTGTAAGGTTTTTTCGTCATATTTGCCACTTGCAGCTGAAGGAACACCATCTTCAAAAGAAGGTAACACTGGTGATAGTGTATATGGTGCTATTGTACGGTTACTTCGTCATCATTTTCGAAGAGCAAAAAGAAGGCTGAAAAGAGTGAGTTTTTTAAATGTTCTGCCAGAAATGTTTCAATAAATTTTCTAAACTTCTACCTAAAACTAGTTACATCTGCCATCTGTCACTTAATTGCAGAGAATAGCAGCTTTTAAAGAAAAACGTATGAAGCAAAAAATGACTGAAACTGGTGATGAAAGTACAACAAAAAATTTGATGGACGAAAAAGTGGAAAAGTTAGCAAGTAAGTAAGTTATTACTAAAAGAACCAAATACTTTATTTCTAATTATCATCCAACTTCTCAGTGTTTGTCACACTGATTTACTCATCTGATGTTATTTTAGACGAAGAAACTATTCTTAGCGATAACGATAAATCTGAGCTGTCCAGTTCTGGTGCTGTAGATGTTGTTCCGTCTGAACCTAATCGAAACGGAAGTATTACAAGTGAGTGACTGTTATACCTGTTTATCAGAATGAAAGATCAACTAATTTTTTAGTTAGGAATTCTTAACAAAACATTTTTGGTTTATTTTTTATATGTATAAAGTATCTTTGTAGAAAAAGTTGTTGATAAGACTGAAAAAGATGAAAGTAAAGAATGGAAGTCTATTACCAGTAGCAATGCAGAAAATGAGAAGGAAAAAAAATCTGGTGCAAATAAGGTGGAAAGTAGCCGACGAGTGAGCAGTTTCAATATTGTTCTGTTTTTTAAGCTTATCAAAAACTTCTCCTAAATTATTATTTAAAGTAAAAAATAACGGAATTGCTTTTTGTGATCGCATAAAAACTGCTGTTGATTCTGAACCAAAAAACTGTTGTAGAACTAAAGATCAAAAAAAATTGTTTTGTGAAGAAAAATCAGCTCATATTTCTTTTTTTTCTTAGCATGTATCAATTATGGCTAAACATAAGGGATCACGTTGGAATAAAATCCGAGAAAAAATACAAGTTTTTGTTGCTAGCAAATATTTTACACGAGGAATCTTATGTGCCATTTTGGTGAATACAATGAGTATGGGTATTGAACATCATCAGCAGGTTGGCCTTCTATTTTTCTAACAGTTTTTTTTAAAGAAATTTTTTACTTCAACAAATTTTCATTAATTTTTAATTTT